GCGGAGTGGTTAGAGCTCATAACACATGGGCACCAGTGCCTTTGAGCAGTGAGTCCCTGCTTTGGCTCACAACTAGTCTGGACCCCCACTGCATGTCATTTCCTCGCTCTTTTCCCCCACGTCTCCTGTCTCCCTTCTTTGTTTAATAAAGGCAAAAATGCCCAAAAAATGAGTCCCGTGAGTTGGCTCAGTAATCGGGTTCAAAAGAAACCTCTCTGCGTTAACTTGATTCGTCCTCATCGGAAGTTATGTTCACACACATGTTTGCAAAATCAGAATACTTGCAGAAGTGAAGTGGAACCAGAATGCGGAAGTGCATGGAAACACCACTGCTCGTGGAAAGAGTTTTCCATACACTCTTGGAGTTTACAATTGAATTATGCTGGTTCGTAGACTTCCCTGTGACTTCGTCTGGGAGTTCCACTAGTTCCACGCTGCAGTTCTCTTCTTCCTCTGTAGCCCCAGTCTGCACTTCATTAGCCTTCTTCTATTCCCAGAACTCCTGTAGATGTGACTCCTCTTTTCCGGGATGGAGGAATGTTTCTTCCTCAGGTCCGACTGATGGAATGGGTTGAGGCCTGGGCAGGGGCCTGGGCCTGTTTGTTCAGGATGTGTCAGGAGGGAAGGAGGGAGGAAAAGAGAGATTGTCTAGCCCCCACCCCCACCCCCAACCCCTCCAAATCCCCCGGATCCCGTGGCTGAAAATCACTGCCAGCCGCGCCGACGTTCTCAACAATGCCTGCATCCAAACTAACGGGGGACTGCTGGTGGATAAAGAGCCAGACGGAGCGACAGTCGGTGCTAATAACGTTAGATCATATTTCAAGGGCTGTACTGTCTCTATTAGGAAGTGGTCTTGGGACGACCATCACTGCTTCCTCCGTCACCTTTCAACAGTGGTTCCATAATCCTCATATATTATGGATAAATCATGTTCATATAAAGGATGACATGCATTTGAGAGTTCTGTCTGAACCACTTGGAGTCACATCTTCTATAGATTAATATCATGTAACTTCGCGCTCTGCTACAGTTCTCTTCCCCTTTTTTCCCTCCAACATCCATTGCGGCTTAAAATATCAGCTCTTAAAATGCTGCTCTCTCTTCCTTTCCCCCCCCCGTTCCCCCTACATCATGGGCGACTGACCTCACTCTGTGGAGTATTCAATCACCTCAGAGCAAAAAGTACAGCAGCACTCATTCTCCCTCGTTTTCTTTCCATGAACCCACCGTCGCACACTGTCTGCATACGTGGTTGGTAGAAAGTGAAGCAGGAAAAAAAAAAAAAAAATCAAAATGGACAATGGGTGCTGGTTTACAGGTCCCACTGGAGAAAAGCAAAAAGCAATGTAGTTGTAGTTTTGACTCCTTGAATGTTTCTGGAGTTAATGGGTGAGACAGCAAACCCCCAGAGACGCTCTGCTGTAGCTATTAAAAGCAGCGTGCGGTTACTGTTTACAGTTGTTTAAATGAAACTCTCTCTCATTCCCACAGTGACAGTGTCTTATGGCAAAAAAATGTCGTTTATTTTGAAGCTTAAATAGTTACAGAAGCAATTAGCCAAAACAATGGAAAGACAATTACTCCCCACAAATTAGTACAAAAGAAGTAACCATTTGCTTATTAGTCCTAAAGATAAAGTACAGCTGTGGCAAGTGGGAAAATCATTAGATTTGCAGAATATTTGACAGATTCAAAGTTGACCTGAGGATGGTGCTAGATGAAAAGTAAAGACTTCCTCCTGTGATGGTATGAATGTGTGCACAAAATTTCATGGCAATCTGCCCAAAACGATATTTCAGTCAGCACCAAAATGAACTGACCGAGCGACAAATGGACAATGGCTAAAAATGTTTCTATGGAGTGATGGCGTACAGCTTATTTGGTATTAAAAGAAAACAACAAACAAAAGCTTATAACATATCTGCTAGAGAAATAGCAAAATGTAATTTTTATGTTACTTTTTCTATATTTGTACCTCGCGGCTTCCTGAACATTTAACGTTTAGTTCCGTAAAATGGTGCCTTAAATTGAAATACAAGGATTTTTTTGCCCAACTTATTGCTTTCATCATCACTTTATGGAGTCAGTAATCAAACGTCTTATGAAGTGATTTTTTAAAAAAAACACTACCAGCTGTATTCTGGTGCTTATGACAGCACGCAAGGTGTGACTTTTAACTCCAGGGATGGCGGCTTTGCAGTTTGTCATGGCAGATGGTGGTGGAGATTTTTCCCAGTGGTGTTTATGCAATGAGCTATGATTTTCAGTGTGCTATTCTGGATCTGGTGTTATTCCAGCAGTATAAAGTCCTTCTCCTCTGGCCCTGATGCTGTGTGCGAGTCTGCACTTAAACATTGTGTGTATTTACTACCCTGAGAGAGTGAGCAAGCGTTTACTTACCGTGAAGATTTTTGTGTCACGGTGGCCTTGGCCGACCTTGAGTTGGTCATCATCCACTCCGTGGGCTGTGTGATGCACGAGACTCCACTCTGCAGCAGCGTTTGGTGGAAGTAAACAGGTGTGCTACTACTAGGACATGATATTTCCATTTGCTTCCAAGCACCATCTTAGCTGTTGAAATCAGACTGAATGTATTCTGAATGCAGCAGACTCTCACAATAATTGGTGGCAGTTTTGGCAGCAACATCAGACCAGCATGTTTTAATATTTCACACTGAAATGTTTGGTTGAGTAGCAGCAGCGCCTTGTTCTGGGAAAGAGATTATTCTCCGATGCATTTCTGTGGGTCTTGAAAACTGAAGCCTCTGAAGTCTTTACAAAGAAGCAAAGTGACTCATTTATGAATCACTTTACCATTTACTGTAACCTTTGGATCTATATGTATTTGGCATTACAACTTAGAAAACCTTTGCATGTTTTATTGCATTTTCTCAGTTAGTTAGTAAGGGGCAGACAGAAAGGAATAAGTTGTAGGCCGTCAATTAGTTTCAGACGTAATCCCCTGAACCACAAGCAGTTTTTAGGTGTTTTTTGCTTCTGTCACATTTTATGTCACTGTAAACTTTTTTTAACTGCAATATAAAGTCCTGCACCTCTATGGAAACAGAACAACCATGACTAGAAGTATTAAGAGTTAAGGCACAAAGAGTTAAAATGCCATAAATCATGATAAAGAAAAAACAAACATTGCATTTCTTTGCAAACATTGAGAAGAAAAACTGAAATTCACATGTTTAACATTTTTTACATGTGTCACTAAGTGTCAGAAATATTGGAAATAACTAACATAGATTTCCTTATTACGTTTTTATTTTGTGTCTGTACTTGTCTCTTATCTGCTGTGTGTAAACACCTACTGCAGTTCAGCCGCAAAGTCTTTTGTGACTTTACTGTTGGTTACAACTGAATATCTGAAAGCTTCACTGCTGCGCTGAAGTGTGCAGAATGTTTAGGATGTTTTTTTTTTTTTGTAGAATCTGGTTTGTCCAAATGTTTTCTTTTTGGCAAATTTGTAATTTGAGTTTGATTTTGTTTTTTTTTTAAATCACAATTTTAAGCTTAGATTTGGGTGGGTTTTCTTACTGAACAGCACATCACATATGAGCATTTTAAAAATTAAACTTTTTCTTTGCAATTTCCAGCTCTAACAAATGGCGTAATTTTGCAGATTTTTCAAACAGATAACATGCCTTTTAAACCAAATAGATTATAATTGAGCATTGTATTGCAGCAGACTGAGGCAGGCAGTGCATCTGAGCCTGGGATGTCTTTTATTAATCATAGGCTTTGAAAAAAACCTTGAATGAGTGTCTTTTGTTCCTGACATGCTGTGTTGAGTAGGGTTATACATAAAACAATCTGTATTTTGTTGACAGCAAGACTTCCTGTGCTAAACCAATGTATTCCCACAAAGGGTTTAACCATCCATATGCTATTTGAACTCTTGATCATGTTTAGTTCCACTTTTTCAGGCAGAGCTGGTTGTAGGCAGTCGTTGCTGAAAGTCGATTTCAGGCTGTTTAATGAAGGAAGTGAATTGTGTACACTGTATGGGTGTGTCAAGTCACAGTTCAAACACATTTTGCTTCCAGTGAACTGTGGACGCACTGTACCATGGAGGAGAAGAAATGTTAGCTGGTGTGTTGTTAGTTATTGGGCAGGACGGCATCTCAGTCATCCACATCTATTTCTAAGGGGCTATGCAAACTTGTATTTGCTCTGTCATTCCTCTCTGAACTGGACTTTGTACGTGGATTGGGACAGCATGTCGTCGCTCCTACAAACATGATTCCAGTTGGTCACTGATTGGCCCTGAAAGTGACATAAACTTTGGTTTACTGGAGGCGCCCGTGTACTCTGGACTTGACTGAGAGAATGGTGGACAAGATATGGAGGAAGAGTTGGCATTTTATAGAAAGTAGACGATCTTTTCGCAGCAAGCCGCGCTCTTGTAATGCGTCAGAATGTAAGAGTGAGTGAGTAACCGCTTGTTTTTTTTTTCCCCTTATTGTTTGTATAAGAGATAATCACACAAGGACGGTGGGTTGCTGGATATGTTTAACATTTGGAGAGTGTTTACGTGGCATTTGAGTTTTCTGTCTGCGGTACATCAAAATCTACTGCAGGCTATTTTTAATAGTAATTTTTCATGAAGTGTGTATCAGTGTCAGACAGCTTATGATTGATTTAAATGTAGGTTATGCTCTTTATCATAAAGTTGTAGGATCAGCATGTCCCAGATATGGCTGCACTCATTTACACACGTACACACTGCAGTTCACTTTTTTAATGCGGTGTTTCTTTATAAATACCGACACAACTAATTTTAAGACCTCAGAAAAAAAAAGCTTCCTCCAAAAGTCTTTGCAGTTAAGCTACTTCCTGCTGAGACATTTTATAAGGAGGATAACACAGACAGCTGTGAATTATCCAACATTAGCCTGATAAAAACTTAATTCAAATTCTGACTAAAACATCCAACCTTCATTGTTTAACTTTCTTTGAAAACTCTAATCATCCTTTTGCTCTCGTTGCAGTGTGGAAGGGGATGGACGGCCCGGTGAGAGCGGCCCTTCCTTGGACGGTGGAGCCGGCTATGGCCAGGGTCCCGTGACTCACGGCTCAGCCATCAGCCCCGACCGATTTGACGGCCAACTTTACAGCCACGGAGTTCAGCCTGGTCCTCAGAGGCCGCGTCGGCCCAAACTCCAGCACTCACAGTCCATCCTCCGGAAGCAGGCTGAGGAGGAGGCCATCAAGCGTTCCCGCTCGCTCTCCGAGAGCTATGAGCTCTCTGCTGACCTCCAGGATAAACAGGTATCCAAAGTAGTTTGACTGAATAGTTGGTTTAGGATAACATTGTGACTGTGCTGCTGTGTGAAATTATTCTTGATGTGCAGCTACATTTTCATTTGCCACAGAGCCGCTGCCAACTGGGAAAAGCTAATTATCAGTGACATTTTGAATGATGGCTTTATAGACCATCTAAGAAAAGCTAAGAAAGCCAATTAAATATCCCATGGGTGGCACCGTTTCACAGTCAATTTATTCTATCTTTTTTTTCTAGGTGGAGATGCTGGAGCGTAAATATGGTGGACGATTCATAACTCGCCATGCGGCTCGCACCATCCAGACAGCCTTCCGTCAGTATCAGATGAACAAGAACTTTGAACGTCTCAGGAGCTCTATGTCAGAGAACCGCATGTCCAGACGCATCGTTCTCTCTAACATGAGGATGCAGCTCTCATTTGAGGGCCCTGAAAAAGTGCACAGCTCCTATTTCGAAGGGAGGCAGGTGTCCATGACGGAGGATGGCACCCCGCTGTCCATGGTGCAGTCTGAATGCGGAGACATAGAGGTCCACCAGCAGGCCAACATGGCATCTCACCCGGCACCACAGAGTGACCTGACGGACGCCATCACAGAGCTGGAGGACGCCTTTTCCAGGCAGGTCAAGTCTCTGGCCGAGTCGATAGATGATGCTCTGAACTGTCGCAGCCTCCAGGGGGATGAGGGTCCTGACCCGGAGGCCATGGGCTGCTCCGAGGTGGAAGGTGAGGTGCCCTATCAGGTGAAGTCCCACCGCAGGGCAGCTGGGCGGATGCACGATGAAACGATGGCATCCTACAGCGATGTGACTCTGTTCATAGATGAGGAGGACATGTCCCCTTCTATTGCTCTGTCGAGGTCGGGGGACCAGCCCTCAAGCACAGAATCAGACTTACGCTTGCGGTCGGTCAACTCCTCCCAAGAATACTGGCCTATTGACCCCAAAGATGAGGGTCGTGACACAGACACAAGCTGCCGCAGCACTCCTTCTCTGGAGTGCCAAGAGCAGCGTCTTAGAATGGACCATCTCCCTCTGTTGACCATAGAACCTCCTAGTGATAGCTCTGCGGAGCTCAGCGACCGGTCCGACCGCGGCTCTGTCAAACGGCCGCCCGTGTATGAACCTCACAGCCACATCGTGACGTCATCCCAGGCGAGCCCCAAACACATTTCCCACGGCCCCCCTCCTCGAGCTCCCTCCCGTGACGACGACGCACCTCTGCGCCACCGTCACCGCCAGCTAGAGAGCCACTTGGCTATCAACGGCTCGGCCAACAGGCAGAGCAAGTCGGAATCGGACTTCTCCGACGGGGACAACGACAGCATCAATAGCACATCGAACTCGAACGACACCATCAACTGCAGCTCCGAGTCCTCGTCCAGAGACAGCCTACGAGAGCAGACGCTGAGTAAGCAGACGTACCACAAAGAGACTCGCAACAGCTGGGACTCGCCCATCTTCAGCAACGACGTGATTCGCAAGAGACACTATCGCATCGGCCTGAACCTTTTCAACAAGTAGGTGCTCAGCTCTGATGAACAGATGCTTGACCAGCGTGAAAAGGAAAGGAGAAACAAGGAAAATTAATTGATTTGTGTGTGTGTATGTGACAAACAGTGTGATTTACAAACTACTTAGATTCAAATTGACACAATGACATATTATTAATAAGACTTTTGTAGGAAGTGTTTGTTTTGGGGCTGTGATAACATTCAGCCACATACAGTGCAACGTGGCTCAATTAACATATTTCAGCAACAATTATGGATGACAGGACTTGCATCTGTTTGCTCGAGCTCTGCATGACTCCTTCTAATTGCTCTCAAAACTAATTCATGGTGAAGACTCAATGAACAATAAATACACCATTTTAAAAGCGGCTAATTTGCCTCAAGAAGTTAGTGAGAATTCGAGATAAAGCAGGAACAGATTATTCTCTGCAGGAATGAAGTGTCTATCTAGATATTAAAACTGTACCATTCTTGTTCATTTTTAATTTTTCAGAAAGCCAGAGAAGGGCATCCAGTACCTGACTGAGAGGGGATTCATCCCTGACACACCAGTTGGCGTTGCCCACTTTCTTCTGCAAAGGAAGGGACTGAGCAGGCAGATGATCGGAGAATTTCTGGGCAATCGACAGAAACAGTTCAACAGAGATGTCTTGGAGTAAGTATGAGTTAGGATTTTTTTTCACTCCATCTTTTCTAAACTTAAGTGCAATCAGATGAGGTGAAGGGTATGAATATTGTATAAACATACGCAAATACACTGGTGTCAAGGATCTTTGCAAACTGATAGTCCAAAGAGAGACAGTACATAGCAAAACACCTGGAGCTTTGCTAAAGATAATTTAATAAAACAAAAGAAAAAAGGGAGACAAGCATACCACGAAGATCCTGCAGTTGATTAAAAAAAAAAAAAGATGTACGGCACAAATATGACTAGAATTCCCTCTTTTACAGACAATTAAATATCCTCTGTGCTAGAATCTGGGCCAAACAATCCCTGCAAAGATATCAAAGAACTGTTTGCGAGCAGAAAAACTGTCACATGCCGTATTTGAATTATAATGCTGTTGTCTTGCCGCTCAGCTGTGTGGTAGACGAAATGGACTTCCAGGGCATGGAGCTGGACGAGGCCCTCAGGAAATTTCAGAACCACATCCGTGTCCAGGGTGAAGCCCAGAAGGTGGAGCGGCTCATTGAAGCCTTCAGGTTAGACTGCACACTGATGTATGCATTTAAATACGGTAGAATTCACAGATAATACAGAGGGGGGAACGCACCCCTAAAGAATCAATGATCAGAATGAAAACTGGGTTCGAAAAAAGGAAGAGGAGAAAATACAGTATCGTCAACAGTTTTTGTCAACTGAAGTCAACAAAGCTCTTCAACCAGGCCGGTGTTAAATATGGATCATTTGTTATAATCATTAAACGGAGCAGAAATAAAAAATAAGTGCCACAAAAACATTAGTGCTCTTAACACTGAACACATTTTATTTAAACCACATTTAAAATGATGTCACTCTTCCTCACAGCTGCCGAACAAATTATTGGTACATAACAAGAACAGCGAGTTACAGCTTTACTTCTGCTTTTTTTTTATCAGTCAGTGTTGAAAACGTTTCCTAACTGAGTGCTTTGGTAATCTGATTGTGGTCGTAAGTGGAGACAGTTGACATTGTTCTCCCGTCTCGTGTCTACAGCCAGCGATACTGCATCTGCAACCCCACGGTGGTGCGGCAGTTCAGGAACCCTGACACCATCTTCATCCTGGCCTTCGCAATCATCCTCCTCAACACCGACATGTACAGCCCCAACGTCAAGCCCGAGAGGAAGATGAAGCTGGAGGATTTCATCAAGAATTTAAGAGGTACAAAAAAATTAACAAATAATGATGAACATGATTTGAAACACTATTTGTCAATACATCATTTCGAAACACATCGTAGGAAAAATATTACAGTATGTTGCACATTCTTCTAATCTGCATACCACTTATTTGTATTATGAATGTCACATACAGTTAACCCTCTGAACCCTGTGAGTGGTTTTTGCTACTGTAACTTTTTCTTTTTCTTCTTCTTTTTTTTTTTAATGAAACCAGCATGGTTCACTTTTTTCCAAGTACCCACAATACACTCTATATACTATACATATTTACTAACATTTTTAATTAGTTTCTATACTTGTCTCCTGTCCGCTCCGTGTAAACACAGTCTGCAGTTCAGCCTAGTTTAATAGAAAAGTCCCAGAATTTTTCTCATGTGACTGATGGTCATAGCTGAGATGCTAATTGTTCAATGATTGCACTGAGGAGCCAGAATTTTAAATTTTTTACAGAATCTGCTGGTTGGAAAAGTTTATTTTGGGAAAATTTTTAATTGACACATACAGAATAAAAGGATTTTGATCAAATGTCACAACTTTACGCTTGGATTTGGTTACTTCTCCCAAAGAAGTGGCATGTCACAGATTTGAATGTTAGGAAATTTCACATTTCCTGCTGTTGTTACGGTCTCTGACTTCGTAATTTTGTAATTTTTTTTAAAGACTGCATGCCTTTTACATGCACTGGCAGGTTTTGGTTAAAGTAGTAGTTTTATTATTGTGCTTTTTTCACTCTTCGAATTTCAAACAAACTCATTTGCTGATGTTCTTACATTCTGTCATAACAGCTTGATTATAAAGTAAAACATTCTCCTTTAAACGACCATTAGTATATGTTGCATAGTGGATGAGCTCCTCCCTGTATTCCAGGTGTGGACGATGGCGAGGACATACCTCGGGAGACTCTGGTTGGCATCTATGAGAGGATTCGTAAGCGAGAGCTCAAGACCAACGAAGACCACGTGTCGCAGGTTCAAAAGGTTGAGAAGCTCATTGTGGGAAAGAAACCAGTGAGTAATGTCAACTCTCTCTCCACTAAGATCACAAATATGTTAGCTGGATTTCTCATTTTTCACTTTCACTGCGAGAAAAGACATAAATCTCCGTGGCATCTTTGCCAGTGAGATGTAAACAGTGATGATTATTATTTTTGTTAGTCCTCACACAGTCTAGAATAATCTTTTATAAGTAACATAGCCACTTTTCTACTTACCCCTAATCCCCAAATTACAGCGTTTACGTCACCGAGGGAACAGGGAGATGGAGAAAAGTCCTTTGGGTACTATTGTGAGAAAAGGGAAACGCCTGGGTTTAGACCTTCACGCTGGTGATTTTAACACACCCAAAGCCCTTGAAAGATGCTGCCCAGTGCTGCAGTCTGATGAAAAATGGGCACACGCTGCCATCATAGTGCCTCCCTAGTTTCAGAGGGAGAAGTCACTGCTATGCTTGAACACAGCAAAACCGCTTCTGTTTGAACGACCAGCATAAGCTGTTTTAAACACTTTTAATACAATAATTGTCCGTTTATTTCTTTCTGTGTACACTGGACCAAAGCTGTTGCCAGGTTTTGTTCTGACTGTACTCGGTCGAGCCAAGAGCAGCAGCAGGAGGAGCATTTCTGCTTTATTCTGCAGGAAATAACGTCTCTGTCATGTGTGAAGGTTAAAAGTGTGATTAACCTATGCAGCCTCGGGGAGAGGCTTGTCTTGCACGGGGGACTTTGTCTCAGTCTGTTTTCGGTGGAATGGAGTCTGTTCTGCTCTGCCAGTAATAATTGAATGTATTGAAAAATGATCCCTTGTCGCCATTTAGCTGCATAATTAAGGAGGGCAGTTGGTAAAACACTTTAACATAAAAACCACATTGGAATTCCTTCCCTTAATATTCATGTCCACTTGTGCTGCTCTGAGAGGGCTTCTAGGGGAGGATCTGTTTTTAACATCATTACAAATTACCTCAAGTCCAGCAGCAAAGAAAGATCTCCACCTTGTATACAGCACAGTTGAGGTGCATGCATCTTCATGGCCGCTTTAATAATTGCACAGGCTTTCAGGGCAAATCCTGATTTGATTTCATTAATAACCGGAAGAGACTGAATGTTTATGTTATGAGAAGCAATAGTGTGAATGATTTTAACATAACAACTACATCAAACATCTTCTCTGTCCTCTCTTTCTAGATTGGATCGCTGCACCATGGCCTGGGATGTGTAAGTAGACTAAATACCCATAAATGATACTTGAGTTGATCCTTATTCATTCATTACTCCCCTTAAAGTTTACCTAGAGTGGCAAGAGCTTGAGAGTAAAGCATCGCATCAGTTAGCGAGGAATGAGAGGTCAGATTCTGAGGTGGCATTGAGCTGCAGTGTTTAAACATCCTGTGCTTAACAGGATGTCGATGACTGAAACCCAGGAGGGTGTACTATGAAGCAACGTTATTGGGTTAGTGAGCCTAAAGTCAGAGATGTCAAAAGGGTGGCTCTCCTAGATCAACATTGTGCTGTACAGAAAACCTGCTCCAGAGTTTAGGATTCATATCAGCTGTAAGGAGTGTCTCTGTTTTACTCATTTGTTTCCTGGCAATCCTCTATGATCGATACAGATTCTCATTGCAGCTGCTGCAACGATTTGTCTTGATAACAGGAAATATTCAATCAGTGACATTAATTTCAGTTCGATTCGGTCAAAAACTAAAGTGATATCCTGCACTATGGGACAATGTCAGACCTTAATGGACTTAATTAGTATCATGTTTAAATGAACAACGTTTAAAGTGTGGCATCTCTAATATGCAGCTGTCATGATAGAAATAAGCAGCTGCTTTAATCGATAAAATAAATATATGAACTCTCATCATTGTCAGTTTCCTACCTGCGTTATTCTCTTGCATCATTTGCAGTAACGGTGCTTTTCACTGTAATACATTTTTTATATTTCTCGTATCTCTCTGCTAAAACAACCTGCTGTCTGAAGTAGGCAGAACACCGTCGGCCCATTGTGTGCAAGAGTCACATGAATGTTAAAACGCCCCCTTTATGGGAACGCGCTCAGAGTCTGAAGAAGAAAAGCTGGTTAACAAAGTTGATTTCCACCGTTGTGACACCCGTCGGCTTACACAAAGAAAGCCTGGCTTTGTCAAAGTTGCTTCACGGTGCTCCCCTCAGATCTTTAAGGCAGCAGCTGTGACCTAACACTGCACTAGTAGTACGGTGTTTTGTAACCCATTATTGCTAAGTATTCTGGTGTTTGCTTTCTTATTAAGTCAGTGCATATGGCAACCTAAAAAAAAATGTAAGCAACATGAATATTTATTTTCATTCCCCGTTAGTACTTACCTTGAGATAATCTCTCCTCCTGGGTTCCATTTGAAAGTATGCAGCATAAGAATTTCAACAAGGCCAAGTTTTCCTGTAGTTAGTCGGTCTTAGTTTGTTGATCTGTTATCCTGATATTTAAAAATAAAAAAAATTAAAAATGAATAGACTCACTGGAGGAAATGTCATCCTACTTTATGTTTATTGCTGTCTCTTCTTCCATTATTTTCTTAGAGAACACCTGATTATGTTTATTCTTCTATATATTGGATCATACACATTTATTAATTATTGTTCGTTTATTGTTTGTTTTTTTATAGGATTGCATAGAAGAAAATAAAGTCTATCACCTTTTAATAGGACACACAAACAGCAGTATCCACAAAGTCAATACATTTTCCTGTACGTTGCCATGAATAGCTTGAAGGATCAGAAATGTTGAGAAGAAATAAATCAGTCGCCCCTCGGCTATACCTTCTTTAAATTCTTCTTTGGGGAAGAGTAACCTGTTCCTTATTACGCCGTCGACTGAGGCCATAATTATCTCTAAAGTGTATCTGTGCTGCTTCCTTCTACCTCGTAGGTGCTGTCGCTGCCTCATCGCCGGCTGGTGTGTTACTGCCGCCTGTTTGAAGTGCCAGATCCCAACAAACTCCAGAAGTTGGGCCTGCACCAGCGGGAGATCTTCCTGTTCAATGACCTCCTAGTGGTAAAAGCCCTCTCCTCCCCTCTAATCGCCTCTCCTCTAATCCCCCCGCTCCGCTCTGCTCTGCAACCCTTATCGTATTCTCTTTGCATAATTTCAGGTAACCAAGATTTTCCAGAAGAAGAAGAATTCGGTGACATACAGCTTCAGACAGTCCTTCTCTCTGTATGGGATGCAAGTCATGCTGTTTGAAAATCAGTGTAAGTGTCACCCTTTCATTCCCCTCCATGTCTCCCTGCAGCATGTTGGTTGACAGTGTTTACCTCACGAGGTTTGATGTAGCACAGTAACACATGCAGCAGAAATGGGAAGTCAAACCAATGGGCTGTGACATTGTTTATACTCTCTAAACTTCAGACGGTTTCGTCCAAAGTGTTTCGCCTCCATTTTGATCAATCGCACCCCCTTTTTTTTTGTAACTGTCTCTCCCTGTCTGTTTGCCATTTCCCCAGATTACCCAAATGGGATCAGACTTACATCGGCGATACCAGGTGCAGACATCAAAGTGCTCATCAACTTCAATGCGCCCAACCCCCAGGACCGCAAGAAGTTTACAGACGACCTGCGAGAGTCTATTGCCGAAGTCCAGGAAATGGAGAAATACAGAATAGAGTGTGAGCTGGACTTTTCCCCCCCCTCCCATCCCCCCTCTAAGTCTTTTCTACCTCGGGCTGTGTGAAGCAGAAACAGGGCATGGTCCTCATTACTCAACTGCAGCAGTTTACAAGGGAGAATGTTTACAGAGTTCACAGGATGGCTACCAGAAGGGACAGCGGGGTTTTTCTGGATGCTCAAAAGACGTCTGAATTGTTACAAACAACAGAAAAATGATGTTGAAATCTGTTCATATCGGATTCCTCTTTTAGTTTAAGACAGTAAAAGGTGGCTGAATATACTTGGGGAAAGTTTAAAAGTCATTCCCTGGCCAGAGTGAGACGTAAAACCGCTGCCACTTACCTCAGTCTTTCCATGGCTCCTTTCCACAGCTGAGCTGGAGAAGCAGAAGGGGGTGGTGAGGCCCAGCATGTCGCAGAGCTCCGGTCTGAAGAAGGAAGCTGGCAACGGGAACATGAACCGTGCCAGTCTGGATGACAGCTACGCCATGGGAGAGGGCCTGAAGAGGAGCGCCCTCAGCAGCTCCCTGAGAGACCTCTCTGAAGCAGGTATAGCCAAAATGTCTTTGTTCTTACCAGCTGGTTCTTTATTGGGAAAAAAGAGTACTCTCCTTCTGTCATCCACCTCTCCTGGGATGATACCAAGGGGATAAAAATAGCAAAATGTTGTTTCACGGCACCATACATTGATTTTTAGAGTCCTCCCCTTTAAATCCATTATCTAACTCCCTCATGATTGGATGGTTTGGTCTGAACGGTGTTTCCTTCGATGTTTAACTTGCTTTGTTCTCAGCATTCTTTGTCGTAGAGAGATTTAAGGTGTGCGACGATGTTCCACAGTTAAAAGAATGACCTACTAGAGAAGAGGTTTAGCGAAGCAGTTTTTTCTAGATTTGTCTTCTCAGTGATGAATGAAATTGACGGGCAGTTCTCACCCCTGTTCATTTGGACGAGTTTTACTGACCAGGATTTCCATCCATGTTTTTAATCGTCACTTTTTTTGTTACTTAGCACTTCTTTTTTTTTTTTGCATTTCCAAGTTTGTTTTATCCGAAGACATTTCATAATGATCTGTTTATATTTTCTATTCAGAACTTGTGTGTATCATTTCCTCTTGCGTATATATTTGTGGACCAAACAAACCGATGTGCACCATCCTTAAGCAGTGACGACATCAAGGTTTAGGCGTTAACGGTCATTTCATATCCATGAATATCAGTGTTTAACACAGCTGCTGTGTCTCTGAAGCGAGGATACATTTCATTCATTACAGATAACCGCTATGCAAAGTTATCAGGTGATTAACTTGATAACTAAATGAAATCCAGTTAGGGGGTCTGCCTCACTGTTGGTAATATGATCTGCTTTGTTCTTATGATCACTACCTCAATGGGAACTGATAGGTCAGACAGTGAAGAAGTCTATAGAAGTCCCTCTGCCCTCCTGTCTCCTGCGTTTTTCGATGCAGGATGTGGCATGTTAGTGGGGTCATTTTTCTTAAGTGTTTCCTTTTTTTTAATTTTCCTTTCCTACCATACTCCATTCCATGTGTATTTACTGTGTTATGTCCATACACATCAGGGATTTTTCCTGTTTATGTGTAATTATTGGTCATATATCATTGGCTGAGTGTGCCTAACAATGGCAAAAGTGCTCTGTCCACCCTCAGATCTGTATATGCCTGTACATTCCATGTGCAGCAACCACTGTATTGCTTTTGATGTGTCCCCTCCTTTGTGACTATCACTGAGACCGGCTTTTCGCCAACCCTGACCTGTATGAAAATCTCGTTTGGAATGAATGACAAAAAAAAAAAAAATCTTGGAAAAAGTTTGTTTCGGCATCAACCCTGTTTGAGTTTTTTTTTTTTTTTTTAGAAATAGGTGGCAAGTCTTTTGGTAAAACTCCCCCTTGTGGACATTTCCTTGGTCTATCAGACGTCCTTGCTAACGGAGTCTATATTTGTTGAGATTAATGGTATCAACTTTTTTTAAGTATTGCTCGACTCAGCCACCAAGTGCGTTCTAAAAAATGAAATTAGCGAAACTTCAATGCAGCTTTAGCTCGTAGTGTTCAACCTGAGCGAAGACTTCACCGTAAAAGAAAACCACCGTACCACCTGTCAACCACCACCTTCTCAGACCTGAATGCCCTCTCCTTACCCCCCCCTCCCCTCCCCGCCCATATTTGGACCTTACTCACAGTCACAATCCACTGCACTGCCCCCTACGGGACCGGTGGGCGGCCTAAACGTCTGTAGTCGATCCAGAAGTGCTGTCGATCTCTAATCTCTGGTATTGCATGTCTCGGGCAGGCAAGCGGGGGCGTCGCAGCAGTGCAGGATCACTAGACAGCAATATGGAAGTAAGTTGGAAGCAGCTGGTATCCAAGCTACTCTCTATGTGATGATGTGCACTGTGAAACACTCCATTTATTTTTGGTCTTACACCTTCTTTGCTTCATAGACTCAGTCCATTTGTTTGGATCATTTATTTTTATTCCTGGGATGCCTTATAACCTGCTTGCCTCAGTTAGTGTGCATGCATGGGTTGCCTGCCTCTGATCCTGCCCCTTTTTTGGAAGCCAGAGATCTCCTGTTTTGGTCATGTTATATGACCAATATACACTGTACCTTCAAACAAGCATGACTCTACTAATGCCTCCTCTGATCCCCTCCCCCCTTTGTCGCCTGTCTCTGTCTTTCATTCAATCACATCCAAGCGGTTTTCATTTGGTTCTTCTCTTTGGCAGGGTGGTAGCCTTGAAAAGTACACTAGGAAACTGTACACCTCTTGCAGCCCTTCTTCCCTGTCTGGGTCTTTCTTTTTTTTCCCCCTTTTATCCACAACTTCTCTTAAACGCTGTAGGTTCAGGGAGGAACGTAGCCTTCATAGTCAGAGGTCTACTGATGGGCTTCACATGGACTTAGAGAGATGTGGATTTCATTCATTCATGTTTCACTCATTTCATGTGTCCATGAGTTCATGTGGTGGGTTGGAGTCTGGGACCCTGGAAATTTCATTCTTTCCGCTTTCAAAGACATTTTATGGTCTCTCTCGAGTCTTAGATGAAGCATGTGCCAAAGGAAAAGCTTTTTCATTTTTTTTTTTTTTTAGGAGAATTCATACCTGGATATCGAGTAGTGTTGGACCCAAAAACGGGAAAAAGTGTCCAGGCCCGTTGTGAAGTCTGCACACAAGAGCTTAGTTCCTCCTGCCTTCTGACTTCTAGTTGAATGCTAATGTGTGGATGACGAGTTTGCCTGTCACACCCTCTGCATGTGGAAACTATGCCTCCATTGATTATAACAAGTTGCATGTGTGACTCTTAGAGGGTTTGGCACATTGACTGCAATGAAGATGAAATGTTTTTTTTTTTCTCTTCCCCTCTTAATGTCATTTTTTTGCTCCCTAACAGTATTTATGTAATTTCTCTTGTTACAGATTTACTGTTTCAAGAAAGTTAGCTCCCTAACAGCAGAGCTTCTTTGAACATAGGCTCCCTTCATCACGAAGTGTTCGCCCAACCTGAAATATTCCTAGTGTTGCTGCTGCCTCCTCTCATGAAAACATTTTCAGTTTCTCATTTGCATGCCCTATAACATTTTGCTACTTGTTTATCTGAAATAAGAAAACTGTGACTTCATCCTGCTGGTGCCTTGTAGCTGCAGCTTAGTAGGTGTTGTGCTGTAGCTCGGTGTCTTACAGACGTGCTGTTACCTTTTTTCCCTCCTGCAGGGGTCCATCATTAGCAGTCCAAACACACGAAGGAGAGCCACCACGCCGCGCGAGGGCGCCCCCCGCGGCCATCCCTCCATCCCTAACTCAGCATCGACTTCCATCCTCGGGTCGCTCTTTGGCAGCAAGCGAGGCAAACCGTCATCTCAGAGCCACCCCCCTTTCCCCCCGCCCGGTCACCCCACTCTCATATCCCACAAGCCCCACCCGACCAACCTGCATCACACGGCACAGGCGGTCCACGCAGTGCAGGCCCAGCTCCACGGCCACCATTCCCAGTACTGCCAAGTCCCGCAGAACCCGCCGCCTTACCACCACCACCACCACTACCACCCGCCCCCCCACACGCAGTACCACCAGCACCCGGCCTACACCTCGCACACACACCAACACGGCCACTCGCAGCACAGCCATTACAGCCAGCATCCACATCACGTCTCGCACTCGCAGCACACTTCTCACCACCACAGTCAGCAGTCGGGTTCAGCGCCCGGCGGACCCAAACCCAAACACAGTGGCATCAGCACCGTAGTGTGATGCTCCTAACGCAAGAGAGGAGGAAACAAGGAGGGGACTTTATGAAGGAGGGACAATTGCTTACACCAAAGGGACTGACAGCATAACTCTATGGCCTGTCCACTGTGTTTGTGCTGCTGTGATGGAAACCAATCACACGCAGTCACCTTTTTTCACTCTAATATGCAGGATGGAAATCGGACTCAAATCTTCCACTAGGGGCCTTTTACTAGTTTGCCTGATCAGGGGCTTTAGTAGTCCCATCAGGGTTTTGTGTGGGGTTTGTGCGGGGGAGGGGGGGTTCTGCACAGGAAGATGCTCTTTGTTTTCAACACACAAACACACACACACCGCCCGGCCGTGATGGTTGAAGAGAAACTGTGTTTTCTCCCCAAGCCGCTCCCCCCTGCTGCTCCATTCCCCTCAATAATCTGTCTTACCTTCACATAATCAGGAGGAAAGATGGCCTGAGATGAGAACATGGCTGACTGTTTTTTTTTTCTCTGTCACAGTGGCATAATTTCTTGTGCACAGCCTTTTTGGAAGTCAACTTTCAAATCTTTGGTTTGCAGATCCTACCATCATATGAATGCTATTTGTTGTTGCCTCCTGTAGAGCTCATATGTAGTGAAAAAACCTAGATATAATCATTTCACACTAACTTAAATCAAAGGACAGGTAAACAACTCGACTGAGTCAGTCATAGTAGTTCTAGTGCTGTATTTACTGTAGATGACAGCTATATGTGTTGTCTCCTAGCTCTCATAAATAAATGTGCCAATTATTAATGCATAATCTATTTAGTCAAGACTTCATGTACAGTATATTGTGTGTAAAGTAATTTGTAAGATTATACTTACAATTATTATTATCAGCAAAAAGGAATTTTATCAGTATTATACTGACTCAGTGGTAACAGGATGTAGATCTGGTAGGAGTGAACTCCCATTTAGTTCGGCCTGTAATCTATTCTGGAATTTTCGCCTTTCAAATGAATGAGACAGAGCCTCTGGACGGCAGCTGCTGCATACGGGCCTCGAAATGCTGTGTTGTCACAGCTGACGCCTCAAAACAGACTTTTCCTGTCAACTCTTGCTGTTGACGAACTAGATCAGTTGCTTGTTTGGTTGTCCGTTTACTTCTCATGCTGTGGCTGCCAAAAAAAAAAAAAAAAAGTTCAAAAAAGCAGAACTGGAGTGATAAGACATTTCACAAAATGCTCAGTTACACATTGACCCACAGAGAGCGTTGAACACGTAAAGTCTGTTGCCTTCGACGTATGCAACAGCTGCTTTCTCGACCGCCGAATTAAAAAAAAAAAAAAAACACAAAACACTTCGTACATCTTCTTTTGCCTTGTTTCGAATATTTTTTTATTCACCGGCAAAGATTTGGTGAGTGAATAAAATCAGTTCTTGCATAGTGAAGTATTTTTATCATCTTTTTCTATTAATATGTGCAATATCTTTGTACTGATTTTGTACATTAAGAACAAGCAAAGGTGTCCCTCCTATTTGTGCGTTTTTTTTCATGTTGCGTCATTATTTATTTATTTTTGACCCCTGTCAGAGTCCTTTTCTCGGTAAATTAATTGTCCAGCTGTCCTCGCGGTCTTAGGGGAGGTACAGACTTGGAGTTCAGTGGAATGTCAAGTAAGTGATTTTTTGCATGTGATGTTATTGATGTGAGGCTATCCTCTGCACATTGTATAACAAATCAGTGTTACCATAACAAGTTTAAGTGCAATCATGTTCAGAAAATGCAGACTTGTACTGAGAGTGGAGGTCTGTAATCTTGTTGTCCAGGATGAGATTCAGGTGAAAAAAAAAAAAACTTTTTTTTTTTTTTTCATTTAAAAATATATAAATACTTACACAGTTCACAGCAGAAAGAAGAATGTGTGTATATATTTTAATAAAAGAAATATGCTTCTCCTTGGGCTGAACAGAAATATTTTGCTGGATAAGCACATATGAAAGAACACTTTCATTTTTTCAGGAAATGCAGTTATAATTTACAAAAATGCAAACTGAACAAAAGAACTGGGTATATGTAAAGAATAACTTTCTACATTCTACAAATAAGAGTCTATTCTAGTGTGTAAATTAGTGACAGTAAACTGTTTGTCCCAATATTCAGGTTGTAAATGTATTTTAACATTCACAAAGAAAAGCGTTGCCATAAGTCAGGCTTATTCTCCCAACATTTTCTCCTCGTGTGAATCGACACCGCAGAGGGTTCAGACGACAGACATATCACATGCGGGACATTGACGTTGAGCTGAATGTGTCTCTCCATTGATTTCATATCTTTATGCTATAATTCCGAAATCTCGGAATGGTGTGAAACCGATGAATCTGTTTATTTCAGTGTGTGTTGTAGTGCTTCAAATGTCTACGGTCATTCTTTGTGAGAAAGTACCCCAACAATGCACTGCATGGATCTGATGCATCATGTGTCCTATTCACTGTGAGCTGATGGGAAGAAAAAACAACAAAAAAAAAGATCAGCCTATAAATTTTATCCTTTGGTTTGTTTGTTTGTTTTTTTTTCTGATGTTGACGTGCTCTTGTTGTTCCATGTTATCCTGGTAGTTATTGAAGCTCAGCATGCATTTCATCAACGAAGCCATTGTGTAAATTACGAACATTGAAGAACATTGCACTTCCGTCGCTGAGGGCTTTCATTGTGTAAATATGGGATTTTGATGTGCAAAACCGATGAACTGCTTGGTAGGAGGGTTTATCTTTATGAAGCTGTAAAGGGACCAAGACTGGGGTTTAAAGGAGATGTACATAATGTGTATATGATCAGTACTCTATTCTGAGATCTGCAGTTAAGATCAGGATGTATATACATCACCTCATAGATGGATGTGAGGGGTGATATATGAACATATCGATTGTCTCTGCCTCTGGCTGTTGTGAACTGACATTTGCTGTAGAAATAAAAAAAAAACAAAAAACAGACTGTTAGGAAGTTTGCTGCCATTTACATCCAGCTCTCTTTTCATACATGCAAACCCCCCCTCACTCACACACACACACACACACACACACACACACACACACATAATGTACACACAGACAAATGACACATCCTGCTGCAAGCTGTTCAGTCTGGCGTGAGACACATTTGGGAAAAAAAAACAACAAGGAAAAGACAGGAATGGCCTCATTTATATGTGCATTCTGTTTGTACAGTGAGTAGTGAGTCATTAAGACCCCAGTTATTGTAAAACTTCAACTGTGACAATGTTGAGAACGCAAAATAAACGAATATATGACTTATGGTACACATGTGTTGTTTTTGTTTGCCAGTTTTAATTTCTTGATTTCAGAGTCAGCTGTGAGTCAAAGAAAAATGATGCTGTTTTGTTTCTCTCTTTTTTGGGTATAACGCATTTTACATTAGTGCCTTGTCTTTAGGCTTTTACATCTTTCACTTCCAGGCTTCAACAATACAGTATTTCCACTAGAGGGCATGCATTAAAGTAACATTAAGCAGAAAATCTGTGCCATTACACCACCTATGGGTTGAAAAGTACACCTACTACACTGTTCCTCAGCCACTGGAGACAATTGTTCAAACACTTACCTCTCAGCTTCAGCCCACTCCTCTGAAGTTGTGAATGTGTCATATTTTTTGTCTTGGGTTGCAGATTTTCTTGCATCACTGGTATTCAGCCTCAGTGTATTATTCCAGTCTGCTCTGTAGCTCCACATTTTCCATTAAGAAACACTTTTCTCTTTGGCCTGGAGCTCATTCAGCGTTTGACTTCATGTGCACATTCAAATCCAAATAAAGCCGTGCATGCTCTGAGCTGTAATTTGCAGCAAAGTGCCCCGTCAGCACTGCAGTGGATGTCAGTAATGCACTAGCTGGGAGAGCTTCACGCAGCCTCCGCCACTATTTTAATAGATAAACGCTTATCTCTTTTAAGCAGATGGATTTCCCTCATGTCGTATGCGCCGTGACCGTGCAGTGTCATTGGTGCGTACCTCACACTGCTCCGTATTGGGCGTGTGATTACTCCAACTACAAAAACACAGTAGTTACAAAACAGAGACACCTCGAGGTCAGGAGAACATCTGAAATGCTCTTAAGCTCGAGTGTTACGTTGGAACCAGATCTGGGAATACATAATGAGATTTTAAGGATGACTGGCACCACAAGAAGTAACTTTCAAGTTGGCTTGACTCTGAAAGGTTTGTATTCCTATTTAAATATTTGATGAGAGTTCCCTTGTACGTTTGACTGTTTCTTAATGTTTTGTGAAGCTTCAGGCTGTGCTGAAACATTTGTTTTAATTCACCTTATAGAGGCATTTACTTTTAACACTGGATTTGAAAGGATGAAGCTGTTAGTTTGTTGTCTAATGTTAATCTTGTGCTAACACACAACTTTATGTACAGAATGATTTAGAATTCAATTTTCTTTTTGTGAGTTACTTCTGAAGCATTGTCATTGCTTTGTAAAATACTCTCCTAAATGAAGTATAACCTTTTCCTGGTCCTGCAGGATGCTCTCCAGCCTGAGCATAGCCGTCCTCCTCCTCCTGACCACATCGACTGCTAACAGTGTTGGTAGGCCCTGCCTCTGCTCAGTCCTCTTTCCCACTGGACTAAAAGTAAACTGCAGCTCTTTAAACCTTATGGAGCTTCCTCATCTGCCCTCAGATACCACGGAGCTCCATTTGCAGGACAATCAGCTCACCTCAGTGCCTCCAGGCCTCTTTGACCGATTTGCGGGCCTGCAAAAGGTCTCCCTCTCTGCAAACCCCTTCCACTGTGACTGTAGGATCCAATACCTGAGGAGCTGGCTGCTGAAGAACAGGGCTATTGTTTCGAAACAACCCGTCTGTTCCAGTCCAAACCATGTGGCTCAGAAAGCCATCGTTGAACTCAGTGATGACCACTTTTCTTCCTGCACCCTGCCAAGCTGTGCTGACGGGACATTCAACACCATAATGGGAGTGATGCTGTGCTGCCTCATTGTTCTGCTTCTGTGGAGTTTGAGACTAGCCAGAAATTCCACTTTTATCCTGAGCATAGATGAGAGACACTCGGGGTTCGAGGCAGACTCTCTGCGCTCGCTGAAGCCCAGACATAGGAGGAGGCTGCACACCGGACTGTCTGAAGTCAGCATGGACACGGATTCTCTCATTTTTACAGAGGATCTAGAAGAGCCGCTTATAAACATGGAGTTACTGCCACAAGTACTGGATGTGCTGCACAAGAAGCACAATATAAAGATAAAAGCTACCTGAGGGGCTCTTCTTGTCCACTGCAGTGGAATTACACAAACACTACCAGCGGATAAAAAAAATAGGGATTAGGGCAGTAAGAAAGCAGCGCAACACATTTCTTTTTACTTGCTTTTTTTTTTTTGCAATGAAGTTGCTTCTTTTCATGCTTTACTGCTACAGCCTTGTTTACTGAGACTGGATGCATGTATTTATTTTTCTTACAATGCAAACTAATAATAACTACACATCGACACATTTTAAAACGAAACTACTGTATGATGAATCATCCAACTGAAGATTTGAGAACTAATTTGACTTTTGCTTGTATTTGAGCTTTTTGAGACTCAGTTACAAATGTCTCGATACTCTATGCATGATAAACATTTCTCTTACGACAGATTCGTTCAGTCATACTGGACTCTTGATTTGTGTCCTTGCAAGAACACCAAGCCAGTCCAGCATTTATGTTTGAATACATAAAGGTGGAGTATTAAATGTAGAAAAATCTACATTATTTCTGATGTTATGAGAGTCTTTGATCATTTCTGACAATTTGTGGATACTTTCTAATTTAAAAAACCAAACAAACAAAAAAAACAACACACAAACAGTTTGCCAAACCTGTGTAACTATTCCTTGTATTTTCGTAAGGTATTTACAATGAGTGAAATTCTACAAATGAGGCAGTAAAAGCTTTTGATGTAACTAAATAAACGTCCTGTTAGACTTTGCTTCCAGTATTTTAAAATTTGTAAAGGAAACTGGATATGGCAGGAAGATATGGTAACATTTAACAAAGATGAACGTCTCTGATCTGTGCAAACACTCTTCGGGGCTCCAGCGAACTAGACAAAATGCAGACAGACGGTACTATTAGACGACAATATTGCACATCAAACAATTTTCTTTTACAGTACAAGTATTACTCTCATATTCATGCATAGATTTTCCAGGATAAATGGGTAAACAAATGGCTAGAAATAATAATAAAAGTCACCTTGAGAATAAAGGTCAAATGTTATCTGAATATGCCTCTTAAAAACACTGACAAATTTCTTGTAATAAATATAGGATGGTTTCAGGATTTGTAATAATCTAGAACAATACTATCACCTAAAAAAATACTTAGTAGGGTCAAATAAGGCAGTTCTTACACCTTTCCTTAATGAAAAAGAGGTAAATAAAGACTATCACAAAAAACAATATAAAAAGAGTGGATGATAGTAACAGTTACATGATTCATTTTCTTTAAAGTTTGTCTTAAAGTCAAGAGTTTAAAATAGGACCGATATTTTCTCAATGCCCTGTCAAGGTGGTTAAACAAAGTCCACAGTGTTTAGCTCCTACTGCTGTATGCATTAGGTGGTATTCCCAGTTTAATGCTCTAAAGCCCCCTCTACCTGGACCTCTGCGACCACAACCAAGCCCGTCAGCTCAAAGCTCTACTGAGGCACAAACTTTTCCTGCTCAAAGATAAGGTCGACGGCCTCTGCCACGTCCTGCACGATGTGGTCTGGCTCCACCAGCGCTGGGTCAAACCTGAAGTCCCGGTGCCCGTGGAACACAGTCTCCTTGATGCAGTGGTTGGCATCGGATGGTACCTCTGCGTTGGGGTTGTAGACCCCCGTGCAGACCAGGACGGACTTGCAGGAGGTGGCGGAGGGCAGTGCCAACTCGCTCTCCCACAGGCTGTCAATCTCCTCCTCCCTGGGCACTGCAGCGGTCGAACCGGTGGCAGCCACCATCTTGGCGACAGCTTTGGGGTTCTTCCTAGCATCTCTCTCCTCCAGGTAACGGTTGTACAGGTTGGCGCCGTAGATGTCAGTCATAAGGTTATCCCTGAGAATGCAGAAGGGAGGAGATTGTGAGCATATACAGTATGTCACAACAGTTCATTGAGGGAACCATGAATGCCAACATGTACTGTGACATCCTGAGGCAGAACATGATCCCCTCCCTTTGGAAACTAGACTACCAATGCCTTGCTAAAGAAGTTGAGGGTGAACGTGATGGACTGGCCAAGCGTGTCTCCAGACCTAAATCCTACTGAGCATCTGTGGGGCAACAAAAGTGAGTACACCCCTAAGTGAAAATGTCCAAATTGGGTCCAAAGTGTCAATGTTTTGTGTGGCCACCATTTTTTTCCAGCACTACCATAACCCTCTTGGGCACAGAGTTCACCAGAGCTTTACAGGTTGCCACTGGAATCCTCTTTCACTCCTCCATGACGACATCACGGAGCTGGTGGATGTTAGAGACCCTGTGCTCTTCCACCTTCCGTTTGAGGATGCCCCACAGATGCTCAATAGGGTTTAGGTCTGGAGATGTGCTTGGTCAGTCCATCACGTTCACCCTCAACTTCTTTAGCAAGGCAGTGGTTGTGTTGGAGGTGTGTTTGGGGTCTTTATAATGTTGGAATACTGCCCTGTGGCCCAGTTTCTGAAGGAAGGGGATCCCGCTCTGCTTCAGGAAGTCACAGTGCATATTGGCATTCATGGTTCCCTCAATGAACTGTAGCTCCCCAGTGCTGGCAGCACTCATCCAGCCCCAGACCGTGACACTCCCACCACCATGTTTGACGGTAGGCAAGACACACTTGTCTTTGTACTCCTGACCTGGTTTCCGCCACTTAACGCTCGACACCATCTGAACCGAAAAACTTCTTCTTGGTCTCATCAGATCACAAGACATGGTTCCAGTAATCCATGTCCTCAGTCTGCTTGTCTTCAGCAAACTTTGCAGGCTTTCTTGTGCATCGTCTTTAGAAGAGGCTTCCTTCTGGGATGACAGCCATGCAGACCAATTTGATGCAGTGTGCAGCGTGTGGTCTGAGCATTGACAGGCTGACCCCCCACCCCTTCAACCTCTGCAGCAATGCCGGCAGCACTCATACGTCTATTTTCCAAAGACAACCTCTGGATCTGACGCTGAGCACGCATTCTGTTTTGTTGCCAGTGGTTAGACATTAATGGCTGTGTACTGAGTTATTTTGAGGGGACAGTAAATGTACACTGTTATACAAGTTGTACACTGACTACTTTACATTGTAGCAACGTGTCATTTCGTCAGTGTTGTCCCATGAAAAGATGTAATAAAATATTTGCAGAAATGTGACATGCTGTAATGAACCAGAATAGGCTTATTTTCTGCTTTTCTACGCTACAACAACAGTGAAGGAGCACTTAAAGCAAACACAGAACAGCTGTGGAAGCAGAACGATGCCGATTGTGTGGAAAAAAAAAAAAAAAGTTGAAGTGAAACAAAGCGAAGTGTGGTATATTCACTTGCACGATTGTGGGCAGTTAAAAGGGAAGCAGTGTTTTTTTTCACGTGTTGTCTCACTAGATTATTGTGCTCAATGAGGTTACCTCCCCTCTAGTCTGCGGTACTTGTTCCTTCTCTCCACTTCTTTTATTTGCTATTAGACAGCTGCTAAAGTGAATTCTGAGCATGATTTTACTGCTTCTTTAATTCATTCAATATGCTGAGATACACACACACACACACACAGATAAAACCTGATGTCTCACCCTATAGCATAAAGGGAAGTGACGGGAAGTTTCCATTGCCTCTGCATGGCCTGGCTTCTGATGAGGTACTCTGCAAAATGGTAGGTCAGCTCGCTGGGTTTTCCCATGAGAGCCTCGTACTTCAGGTCCTTGCCGGTTATCTTCTTATAGATGTTCTCTAGGCACACAAGAAATGTCCCATGGCCAAACCTGAGACAAAACAAGTCAGAGAGGCGGATCAGCTCATCGATTTGACATCGAGATAGTGTCGCTAATGTAAACAAACGGAATTCTTAAAAGATTTTTGGAGGTTACCGGGGTGAATGCGCCTCAGCCATCCACATAAGGTCCATGTTACAGGCCAGCAGGGGGAGGTGAGGCATCTTTTGGGTTTGGTGAACACTGCTGAGGTTACCATAGGTCAACAAAATGTCAATTATCAGCTGCAGGTTGGTCTCCCATCGAACCGGCTCCCCAAACAAAACCACAGCTGTGTGAGGAATCAAAAGATGCAACCTCTGAGATGTCAACAACAACAAAAGGAATATATGATTAGGCAGACAGCTGGTTTTGTAAAAAAAAAAAGAAAACGGTACGTGTTCTTACCTTCAACGCGGGGAAGGCTGACAACAGCACTGGACTGAAATGACAGAAGGGAAACTAAACATGTGCTGCTGTACAAGACAAAAAAAAAAAAACATGTACTAACATCTGCACCAGACTGCAAAATCTCACCGGCAGTTTGGGTCTCCTGTTGTGGTCCACCATGTCCAGCAGCGGGTAAGATTCCCTCAGCATATCAATACTCATAACATTCTTGAAGCCCAAACTGAAGACAGAGTGTTAAGGAGGAATGAGGGATAAGTTCAAGCTCAATTTTTTTTAAATGAAGGCTGTAAAGAAACTACAACAAAACAAGATTGCAGGATACTTTTTCGCAATTTCCAGGACCGGTCCCTGTCCTGACACTAAGACACACTTGTCATGGAACTTCTTAAACATCCTCAGGGGACTGTGGGACATGATGACTTGGTCTTGTGTAATCTGGAAATAGAACAAGTGTTAGGGGGAGGTTAATAGCAGATGAGTCATGAGACGATCCCAAAAAAAAAAAAAAAAAAAGAAGTGCATGTTCTGTGTTCTGGTTATTTCCCACCACAGCCATGAAGCTTTTATGTGTACATGTAGTGATTTGAAACTCACAGGCACTCCCAGGATGTGTGAGAGCTGGTCTGCTTTTGTTTGTCGGAGGCAATTCCCTGCATTTGTGACAAAAACAACTGGCACCACAAACTGTCCCTGAGAGTCGACCAGCTTCTCGAACGCCTTTTTTGCAGCAGGGATTGGCAGCCTTCCTCGCACGAGCACGCCGTCGATGTCGAACAGCAGCCCAAAGCTTGGCTGTGGCTGCAGAAGGAGGGGAGGCAGGTTAATGAGCCAAAGTGCATGCAAGGAACCAAAAAGTACAGTTTTATTAAGGAAGAGTAAACATATGATAAAAGATTATAACTGATTTGCAACATATGACTAAAAAACTATCAAAACTGAGGTGAAATTGTGATTCACAAGGACTTTTTATGATGTTAAAATATGATAATGTGTCACCTTGAGCTCAATTAAAGACTTCATTTGTCATGTTGGATGACTTTAGTTGCAGAAGAGTATGTTCTCTTCACATGATGGTGTATTTTTTAACACAATAGACAGTTTTGACTAAAATCTGAAATCATGTCCAGCTTATCAACACACAGTGGAGCCACTGAGGCTCTATTGTGGGAATCCTGAGGTGACACAGCAGCAGCAGCACATATGGATATCTGATCAAATCATCCTAAAGCTACCCAAATACAATGTAAATAAACGCATCTGTGCCTTTTCTCGCATTGCTTTTCTCTGCAGCTGTAGCTGATCACAAAAACAAAACTCGGAACACAGTGTATCATGAGGGAGAACAGTGAATCTGTCAGATCCCCCCTCCTCCTTCCCCACCGATGGGGGTTTCTCCTCATCCACAGCTGACAAAAAAAAGTTGCACACAACGCCGATTTGCTACAATGTAAACAAGAGAGCCCTAAACGAGCACAAAGTGTCGCCTTATTGTTCCTCCGGAGCTCCGACCGTACCTTGCTGTGAGTTCCGCACAGCCCGCACCGAGAACCGACAGTCCCAGCTTTGCGCCTGGCTTGACGGTTACTCAGGGTGTACAGGCCCCGGTAAAACGA